AACTTATGTAAATATGTACGTATTTTTATGCTTAATATATGCAAATAAAAGAAGAAAGTAAACACAACAAACATCGAGTAAATTTTTATTTGTGTCAAACTGAAACTTTTTTCCTAATAATAAACGGTTAGCTGATTCACGTCTACAGCAAGTTCACAAAATTAATTGAAAACTTGTATTAACCAAAGCATTGTTTATATTTGCTCAACAATGATTTTATTCAACTAACAATATTGTCCAATCAAGGTAGTCGTTTTGTAATTATTAACAAATATACATTTGTCCCAACTAGAAGTCTTAAGTAAATTGCAGACTTTCGTGAACTATATATTTATTTCGCCATATCCAACTATGCCACTTGATCACTATAACCAAATCTTGGTTATTATAACTAAACCTTTTTCTGGGTGTAGCCCTGTATTTTCATATGGCTCATTCTACATATGGGTATTTCCAATCTAGCGTAACGTAGTACTTGTATGACAAAATTAAAAAAAAAAATTGAAAAAGTCAAATTTTAAAAAGGTTTTTCTAGATTTGCATAGCAATTAAATTTCCAAGTTCTTAAATGTAAAAATCTTTCCTGCTTTTTGTTTAATCAGCTGAAGTATCTGGATTGACGTTACATGACGTTACGTTACTAAAATTACCATTGAAAAACTTTTGTTAATATTGTTCTTGAACGAGTTTTTAACTGCAGGAAAACATGCATTTTATGCGGAATATACTTACTATAAATAAGTTAGATATAGGACAGCTTTTCTACCTCAAATCGTTATTTCAAAAGTATAAATATTATACAAATCGAGTTATGTACATAGTTTGTTTTCATTTCTCAAACGCTGGAAATTTTTGTAAAACTCTCATCAACTTTAACGACTCTATGGTATACTACTTTATCTTAATTTGCCCCCACATCTGTTTTGCACATTCATATATGTAATACACTTGTTGCTGTACAATACTGAGGTGTTATTCTAAACACCAGTTACCCGTTGTTTAAAAATAATAGACATCGTAAAATAATCATAAAAAAACCTGCCATGCGCTAATAGTAATTTGTAATTTAGGGCACAAAATGATTTTAGATACACAACATATGTATACAGTGGCGAAAAAAATAGTAGAAATAAAATTGTCGACACATTTTTGATATTTTCCTTTTGTTTATTTTCCGTACAAAATAATGTCATTTTAAATTTTAACAGGCTGATAAATTTAAAACTGATTAGTGCAACCGGGCATAAGTCATTAAATAAAAACACCATACAAATCGACATTACAAACTTTGTAAAGAATTCACAAAAAGTTTTAAAAATTTTGTTTAGCTTTCCAAATTGAGCTTTTAGAAAAATTCTGGGTATGCAGATATATGCAGCCTTATCATGAGTCTCATTTTCCTCGAACCGGTTCACTTTTACCTTTTGGTTTCCATGGTTTTACTATGGGCGGATGACAAATCTTCGGATAATTTTTTTTTCAGGCGAAACTCAGGATAAGGCAGATTTAAACCACTTGAAACTTGCACATTATTGTACGAAAATTGAATAGACTATGAAACTGCATTCACAGAATTTTTCTAAAGACTCTCATAAAAAAATTCAAATATTTGATAACAAATTTTTAAAATTTGAAATTTTTTTGTGAATTTAAAATGCTGATTAACATGCTATTTTTAACCGACTTCACAAACAGGAGAAGGTTATCAATTCGTCGGAATATATTTTTTTATGTATGTTACCGCATAACTTGGACCACGTTAACCGATTTCTATAATTCTTTTTTTAAAGGAAAAGTGTTACCTCACAAGTGGTCCCATACTTATTTGGTTTAAATCCGATCATTGGATCATGAAGAAATTAACGATAATCTTACATTTTTTTATGAGAATTGAAGTCAGTTTTCTTAAAAATTACTTGTTATATAAGTTAGACTTCTATAAAAAAAAAAAAACAGTAATGATATAAATCAAAAAAATATGTTTGATCCTTATTTACTTTTCGATTTCCTATAAAATTGTGTTATATAAATAAGGAAAAATATTAAATTTCATAAAATTTTTATATATGTATTTTTGCGTCCTAGTGTAAGTATGTTCCCAGTGGATAAATTAAAGAGTTAAGAGCCCATCCTGAAAAACAAAAGGCCTTCTACTTTGCATTCTTTTCTCCTTTCTTTTTTGCATGGCGTGGCACAAATTGAAGGGCTTCTGCTTTCGCTGCCTATAGTAGGGCTCCCGGAAGGGCTTTTGTAGGACGACCTTCAGAAAGCTGCTTTTTTTATATATAAAAATTAGAATGGCTTCACTTAAGAAGGCCTACGTGAATTATCTTCTGGGTTGTTTATAAGATGACAGTATAAAATGTTTTCTCTAAGGGCCGGTTGTTCAATGTCTGGTTACCACTACTTCCCAGTTAAACGTCATTATCGACGATTTCCTGGTATTTAACCGGAGCTTCTACCTCCGATGGCCTCTGTGGTGTAGTGGTAAGCAGTGCGCGCTTTCACACATCAGCACCTGGGTTCAAGCCCTGGTCAAAGCAACATCCCAAAAAATACAGAAAAAGGTTTTTTCTTAACAGCGGTCGTCCCTCGGCAGGCAATGGCAAACCTCCGAGTGTATTTCTGCCATGAAAAACAGCTTCTCATAAAAATACAATCGCCGTTCGGAGTCGGCGTAAAACTGTAGGTCCCTCCGCTTTGTGTGACAACATCAAGGC